CAGCAGGAACTCATTAGCATAATAGGCCACACCTAGCAGCAGAAACTCATTAGCATATTAGGCCACACCCCTGATTGCACCACTCATTAGCATATTAGGCAGCATTCCCATGTTACCAGAAGCCACACCCACCTTTTGCTTCTTATTCTGTTTCCCTTGTTTGCTGTCAAAACCCAGGGCTTTTTTTGTAGCAGGAACTCCTTTGCATGTTAGGCCACACACCCCTAATGTAGCCAATCCTAATGAGTTTGTGCTATTGGGTGTGGCCTATTAGCTAATGAGTTCCTGCTGGGTGTGGCTAACTTGGGAGCCAGCCGGAACTCCGTTCCTGTGCGTTCCTGCCCAAAAATAGCCTTGCTTGACGCTATGGCGTCATTACGAATTTGGCCCTGTGACAGAGAAGGTTAGAATGGAAAGAGCCCTGTAGGGCGTGCCCAAGGCCTTGGACTGCTTTAAACTTGGCTTGTTTCCCAACATTCTTTCTTTGGGTAGGAGATTCCTTCAGGCCCTGTCATGAGCTGCTTCTGAAAGCCTCCTCCATTTCTCAAGCAGTTTGAAGGCAGCTGCTGTTGAGACCCAAAAGCCCAAAGCCGCCTCGGGCACACAGATCCAGTCATGTGGGTCCAGCCATAGAGAAACTGGATGAGGATTGTGGGAAATGCCGTCAGGTCCCAACCAATGTTCCCTCTAAGCTGTGGAGTCTTGTGAGCAAAAATTCTCCATTGTGAGCTACTGGCATTAAAGTGGTGAGCCAGCGATTTCATCAATTAGTTTGCTCTGGAGCCATGCTCCCTGAGCTAAGACAAAAACTGTGTGAGCCGCAGGCTAAAAAACTGTGAGCTAGCTCACACCAACTCAGCTTAGAGGGAACACTGGATTCCCAAGTGAGTTATGGCGACCCTGTGGAGGTTTCAAAGCAAGCGACAACACAGAAGTAGTTTTCATTGCCTGCCTCTGTGCAGCGACCCTGGACTTATTTGGTGGACCTCCCATCCACGTATTAACCAGGGCCAACCCTGCTTAGCTTCCAAAATCAGAAGAAATTGGACTAGCCTGGGTCAGGGCACAGAGAAACTAGGCCGGTGTTATTTCAGGTTTAACTATATTTAGGCCCCGGTCACATGGAGCATTTGCCCCGCTGAAGGCACGATACTCCGGTGGATTTTCCAGGCGCGATCACACCGGAACATCTGGGAGGCGTAGCACTCCCGTGGCCAACCCGTGGCAAGCCGCCGAAGCTGCATAATTAAAAGCTATCAGGATCGACCTACCAGCAAATGTTTTGCCACGGGCTGCCTCCGGACTCCTGTGGTGTGATCGCGCCGTCGTCCTCTTTGCTGTGCGCGCCGACGGTGGAAGCCCCGGTGTGCCGCTGTCAAGTCTGGTTGCCTAATCGCGCATCAGATTGCGACAGCGCAAAGAGCTACACCCCCCCACACACACGTTTTCTGGCCCGTGTGACCGGGGCCTGAGTCTGTTTGTTTATTTATTAAAATATCGATATTGGCTAGCCCTGGATAGTAATCTGGCTGCCGCATTCTGAACTAGCTGCAGGGCTGCCTTCAAGGATAAACCAGCATAGAGCAGGTTACAGTAATTCAACCGCGAGGTTACAAAAGCTTGGATCAGGGTGACTAGATCTGCTGAGTAAAAAAGGAGAGTTGGCAACAGCGAGGTTACAAAAGCTTGGATCAGGGTGACTAGATCTGCTGAGTAAAAAAAGGAGAGTTGGCAAAGCAGATGAAGCTGATAGAGGGTGCTCTTGGCCACTGGGCCAACCTGCTGTTGAAAGTGAAGACTGGACGCTGTCCCATGGCTCAACCTCCAGACTGTGTGGCAAGAGAGTTAGGTAGGCTAGAAAGGCAGACCAAGCTTCTTCCTGTGTATACTCTGCTGCCAGCCACTGTCCCCTTTGAAATGTAGATTGCTACTCCCAGGGACATTTCCTGTCCTTCCTTCCATTCATCCTCTCCCAGCATGCACTTCTCCTTGCACACACCAAGAGGGAGGACACGCCGTCTCCATCTTGGCACCATGGCACCGATGGGCCTCTCACCATCTGTGTCCATCCTTAGCAAGTTAGACGAGGATACTATCCTATCTCTAAGCTTTTCTATCTAGAATGCAGTTCCTAAGGTGGCTCTGTGTAACTTAGTGACTAAGCTTGGTTACCTGGGGGAAAGACGCTTCAGCGTATGTAGCTTTAATGCACTCTGCTAAACCAGCTCTGGACACTGGACTAACTAGACCAGGTCTCCCAAAAACCATTGCTGACATTTATTGTCATTCCTTTCTTGTTTCTAGGACCATCCATTGTGACACCCCCTAAAGATATCTGGAATGTCACTGGGGCACAGATTTATCTGAGCTGTGAAGTCATCGGAGTTCCAACTCCTGTACTTACCTGGAACAAGGTTAGTTGCCTTCAGGACAGATTTTGAAAATGATCTACCTAGAGATGGGAGGGGAGATCCCCATCTTGTTGCACCTGCAGGTGTTTTGAAACATTGACAAGGGTACAAGGGTTGTCACAAAATGGCTGCCATGGGGACGGAACCAATCACAGGACAGGTGCCAAGCCAAACATCTGAATGGATGCTTCCTGCAGAGGCAAAGGTAATGATTTCTGAGCCCTTCTGTAGCACTGAGAAGAAATGAGTTTCAGCTTTTTGCTCTGGGGAAGAGAGCCTGTTTGGTTTCTGATTCTGAAAAAAAGAGGGGGCTTTCTCCCTTCAGAAGAGAGACTTTTAAGGCTAGAGGCCTTACCAAGCCAGGGGATCATAGATCTAGCTAGTTATCTGTCTTTCAGTCTGTCTGTCTGTCTAGTAGATTTGTATCCGACCTTTCCTCCAAGGAGTTGAGGGTAGTATTTGTGGTTCTCCTGTTCCCCACTGTATCTTTTCAACAACCCTGTGAGACTGGTGAGCCTGAGAGAGACAAGCCCAGCATCTCCTCGTGAGCTTTGTGGCAGAATGGGGATTTGAACCTGGGTCTCCCAGATCCTGATCCAACATTAGTCACCGCACCGCACCAGCAAATGGCTGTAACCAGTCAACATCTCCTGGTGATCCCTGGCCCAAAGGACATCCGCCTAGCCTCGACCAGGGCCAAGGCTTTTTCTGCCCTGGCCCCCACCAAGAAGAAGAAGAGAAGAAGAGGAGGAGGAGGAGGAGGAGATTGGATTTATACCCCGCCCTTCACAACCCAAGGGAGTCTCAGAGCGGCTTGCAAACTCCTTTCCCTTCCCCTCCCCACAACAGACACCCTGTGAGGTAAAAGAAGAAGAAGAAGAGATTGGATTTATACCCCGCCCTTCACTACCCAAAGGTGTCTCAGAGCAGCTTACAAACTCCTTTCCCTTCCCCTCCCCACAACAGACACCCTGTGAGGTAGGCGGGGCTGAGAGAGCTCTTGACAGAAAACTCTATGGTTTGAGGCCGATTTTGCCATAGAGTTTTGCCCACAAAGCGGAGTGTCACCCCCAACATTGCTGATGCGCTGACATAACTTCCGGGTGATGACAGCGCGTTGCATGATATCCCCACCCACTCCCAGAACGCCTCCCAAATCCCCCCACTGGCATGACGAAGGGTCCTGGCAACCCTGCTCAAGCTCCATTGAACTAAATGGGCACCGTACCAGAACACTACCCAGCTCTCCTGTGCAAGGATCCATTCATTTCAACTGGACTTTATCATACCAAAAAAAACCCTTAATGGTGAATTGCGCCCTTGTGGCAGCACAGTTTTGAACTAGAATTAAGTCAGCATCATAAACTGAGGAACTGGAGAAATCAGGCAGTGGTAAAAATATCTTTTGAGCTGTTACAGCAAGAGGGTGTACCTTAATGGTGAATTGCACCCTTGTGGCAGCACAGTTTTGAGCTAGAATTAAGTCAGCGTCATAAGCTGAGGAGCAAGAGAAATCAGGCAGTTGTAAAAATAACTTTTGAGCTGTTACAGCAAGAGGGTGTATCATAAAAGCATTCTAGCTGTAAGAAGGGAAGGGTTTGAACAAGGCAGGGGAGGGGGGGAATCGAGTGTAAGCTAAATGCTCCCTGGGGGCTTTAAAGAATAACTATGCTGTCTAGAGGGAGAAGCTCTTAGAAACAGTACACAGCAAAATGAGAAGTAACGGGGGTCAGGCAGTGTTGTCGTATCAGCACAAGAGAAGAAATCCCCCTTTGCCTTTTGGCTCCCTTTTTCAGTCCGTTTCCTCCACCACCACCCCCAGCATCTGACTGCATTTTGCCCTCAAGCTTTAGAAAACAAGCTCAGCTTTTTTTTTTGAATGGTCACTTTAGAGCATATAGAGCTATAGCACTATAACACAACAGCAAAACAACATTATAGCAAACCCATTGGAATTCCTGAAGTGTTGTGTTATAGCACTATAGTGCTCTAAAGCGACCATTAAAAAAAAGCCGGAGATCGCCCGTGCGGGCGAAAAACGGCGGGAAAAAGATTTCAGATCCAGGAGAAGAAACTGAAGACTATTTGGAAGTGGTTTACAGGTAAACCGGTTCAGCCCTGTTTCCTGAATGGGACAGAAGCATTTGTGTGTGAAAGTACAAATATATTCCAGTAGGGAACCGGTTCTAAAATGGTTCTGTCTGAAATGTCAGACCAGAAACCGTTTGGGAACCGTTCCTGAACCAGAATATATCGCCTGTCTGAAATTCCTCACTGTGATGGATTGCACTTTTAAAAGCTTAGAAGTGCTGCATAAACAGATAAAGGACTGTGAAGGGTTAATTCTTCACAGAGCCAGAGAGTCTTGAGTGACAGTCTGTTCCAAAAGATCTGATCGATTAGCATCAGCTGAGCAGAGAAAGACTTCTGAACTGGATGGTGAGGAGAATTCAGTCTGATTTCAGCCCTAGCTGAGAAGAGTAGAGTACTGACAGTTTTGGAATTCAGCCCTGACTGAGAGCAGTTTAACACAGACAGGAGACCTGGGAGAAAGTTGGCAAGGAAGTTTTGAAGTAGGTGAAGACTCCCATTCCGGCCAAAGTAAGGGGATGGATCTTCTAGTGAGAGGAGAATTTCCCTACCCAGTCAAACAAAGAGTTTGCTCTGAAGAGTGCAGAGATCCCTTGTCTGGTGTTGTTAAAAAGGTAAAGGTTTCCCTTGCTCAAAAGCTAGTTGAATCCGACCCTAGGGGGCAGTGCTCATCTCCGTTTTCAAGCCAAAGAGCCGGCACTGTCCAAAGACGTTTCTGTGGTCATGTGGCTGGCATGACTAAATGCCAAGGCGCATGGAACACTGTTACCTTCCCACCTAAGCAGTACCTATTTATCTACGGTACTTGCAATTTCTTGCTTTTGAACTGCTAGGTTAGCAGGAGCTGGGGCCAGAGACAGGAGCTCACTCTGTCATGCAGCACTAGGGTCTTGAACTGCCAAACTACAGACCTTCTGATCTGCAGCTCAGTGTCTTAACCTCTGCCTTTGGAGACCATAAGATTCAGTTAAAAACTCAAGAAAAGTTACAGTGTTTCAAGAAAAGGAGTCTGGGTACTAGCAAGAGTGCACCAGCCTTCTGGAAACTAAAAGAGTCAGTGAATACACAAAGAAAGTGGACTGGAGGGTTTGGAAAACACTGGAACAAAAGCATAAAAATTTTAAATAACTGTGAATAGCTTAAGAAACTCTGAATAGCCTGAAACATAAGAACTAAAGTCTGGGCGTGTACTGGTTTTACCTCAGAAATTTCAACCCCTGATTTCATCTTACCTTTCCCCTCTTTGTTAAATAAAACATTTTGTGATTTTTGAATTTCGAAATGCCTCAAGTGCCATTTAAGTTGATTAAGTTAAATGGGGCTCCTCATCTTTCCCTCAGTTTCCTGGGCTGAGCCAACAGCCAAAATACTGCACTGTGACAGGGTGGGACAGCCAGAGTTCTTCAGCAAAGAAGAAAACACATTACTAGGGTAGCTCAGTCAGTAAATGGCAGGATGGGACAATCTTGCCATTTTCTCCAGTGGCACTGATTTCCATAGTCTGGAGATGTAACTATAATTCCGGGGGTCTCCAGGTCCAATCGGGAGGCTGGCATCCCTAATCTGACCCTTTGTAGGAGAAGCCCATGGTCCAGGGTTCCCCAGCATTGTGCCTGTGGCTGCCATGGCATCTTCCGGTACTTCCCTGCTGCCCATTGTGCTTTTCAGAAAGTGAGCTGGGCCTTCATAAGGCAGGGCTTGTTATTGGCTGCTTTTGTCCCAGTGAAAGCCTTCTCCGTATATGCATGAGCAGTAGTTGCTACTGGAGGAAGAGGACTAGTAAGCTTCCAGTCTTGTGGTTCCGTCCCCCTTCAGGCTTCCCTTCTTTTTATTCCTCCTGTTTCTACTTTCCTTCCCACAGGTTTTCCTTTCTTTGTTTTTATTACCCTTCCAGGACTCTCTTGCAAAACAAGGAGAGAGGTATTGTGCGGCTCTGCCTCCTAAGGCAGCCATTCTGGGTTTGGCTTCGCCTCCTGTGGCGACCGTTTTGGAGTGGCACTCACCACCCCCCTCTTGAAATCCCAAAGCTCCCTGCAGCTCCAAAAGTGTTGGGAAGCCCTGCCATAGTAAATCAATGGCCAAGATCCAAAGCCATTAGACTGTGAAATCACCAAGTTGTCTTATAACGTCAGACCAGTTGATTCATCTGGCTCAGGAACATCTAGTTAGAGTGACTCTCCAGGACCTCAAGCAAAGAAAAGTCTACTCTATGAGATCGCTTAACAAGAAAAGACAGACGGCTCTTCCACATTCTCATGGATTATTGCTTTGTTTGTTTTCTTACATGTTTTGCTCCCTCTAGTGATTAATTTGATATTACACCACTGTATGACTGGCATAAAAACCTGCAGTTTAAATCTGCAGGGAGATATGTCGGGCATACAGTGATGTAATATCAAATTGACCACTAGAGGGAGGAAACCACATGCAGAAAGGGGGGGGAACCCTGAAGCAATAGGGACAAACAAGCAGCAAAAATGAGAATGTGGAAGAGCCCGGAGCCTTGGCCATGCCAAACAATTGCCCTGTCACTGAGCCATGGCCACCTCCAGGATCATGTAAGCAAAATGTGCAAAACTGTTCTGTTTTCTTTGATCCCTTGATTCCCTCCCCTTCCACCCATGCTTCAAAAGCAGTTTCCTATCATGCAACAGTGCTGCCCTTTGAAAACAAGGAAGTCCTTGTGGGCTCAGGGAAGTAATTTCTCAGTTCTTTTGGAGAATCAATAGATATAAGCAAGACTGATGTCAAATAAGTGCTGGAAATGTAAGAAAAGGGAAGGTTCCTTTTACCATATGTGGTGGACATGTGAAAAAGCACGAGCTTTTTGGACTCAAATCCATTTAGAGATGGAAAAGATTTTAAAATGTACATTTAAAAAGGAACCGGAACTGTTACTCTTGGGACTGAAAATGGAGGAAGTTAATGCAGATAAAAGAACTTTGATGTGGTACATGGTGACAACAGCTAGACTTGCTTATGCACAAGGTTGGAAACAGGAAGAAACACCGGGAATTGATGACTGGATTAAAAAGTTATTGTTTGCAGGTGAAATGGACAAAATGACAAGGAAATTGAATAATAGAGATGCAGAGGATTTTTACAGAGACTGGAAGGATTTAAAAGACTATTTGGGAAAATATGGAGACGTAAAAGATACCTTATTTAGTTTTGATAATTACTAAAAAATAGAACCAATATGGAGACTGTATAAAATGAGGAGTAAAAAAAACTCTGGTACAAAAAAAAAATATATATATAAGCAAGACTGGAATTATATTGAATGTTTGGAGGAAAGCCCCTTAGACCACAAAATGTTTGTTAGCTTGTTCATGTACCGTATTTTTCGGACCATAAGACGCACCTGACCTTAAGACGCACCTAGTTTTTAAAGGAGGAAAACGGGGGGGGGGAAATATTCTGAACCTTCGGTCCATAAGACGCACTCACTTTTCCTCCCACTTTTTTTGGAAGAAAAAGTGAGTCTTATGGTCCAAAAAATACGGTAATTGGGCACTTACTAATTAGAGGGTCCCTTCCTTAAATCCAGATAGCGAAGGGCCAAAGGACAGAGCTGCTGCCAGGCGATCGGGAGAATTTGGCCATCCAGACGCGTGGGGGTCCAGAGAAGCACGAAGTGACAGGCTGGGTATTGGTAAGTACTGGCTTTCTTCCTAACTAAGGCAGTTCTGTGTATTTTTCATGGACTGGCAGCTGCTTTCAGGGAAGACGTTGGTGTTGCAGATTTGGGGCCTAGTTCATGGCAAATGAACATGTTAATAAATAAAAATAAATAAATAATAAATATTCATACTGGTTATTTTTGTCCACTGGATGTCCACCTATGAGCAGGTGTAGCTATGTAAAATCTATCACAGATTTACATAGAACAAAGTTCAAGCCCAGTGGCACCTTTAAGATCAACAAAGTTTAATTCTGGGTATAAGCGTTCATGTCCATGCCCAAAATTAAACCGTGTTGGTCTTAAACTTTGTTTAAACTAGACTCAAACTTTGTTCTACTGCTTCAGACCAACATAGCTACCCACCTGAATAGATTAACGTAAGTACAATTTACATAGTTACACCTCTATCATAGGGGTTGTTGTTGTTGTTCAGTCGCACAGTCGAGTCCGACTCTTCGTGACCCCATGGACCAGATCACGCCAGGCCTTCTGGTCTTCCGCCGTCCTCTGAAGTTTGCTCAACCATGTTCGTTGCATCTATGACACTGTCTAACCATCTCATCCTTTGCCGTCCCCGTCGTCTTTGATGTCTTTATCTATGTAAAATCTATCACATCCCGGCCCCAACTGTGTGGTTGATTCCCAGATCACATGAGGAATGGCAGATACGTAGCTTGGGCATACACATATGGGTTGAATGCCATGGAATCTCTTGCACTAACAGGGGCATTTACTTCCTCTGATGTAAGGGCCTCTTCCCAGTGGAATTAGAGCAGGGGTTCATAGCCTGGGGTCCCTGGATCTTTAGGGGGTCCACAGATGGGCTTCAGGAGGTCCATGAACCAGGAACAAAAAAATAATTCTCTGATTTCCTTCCTGTTACTTTGAAAATTTGTCTTTGTGAAAAGCATTTTCAGTGATGTTATTACAGTAATGTTTCACTCCGAACCAATGTAGGAGGGCAAGGGATGCTACTGTACATGTTCTGGTAACATACAATCATCATCATCACCTGGCTATGACATTGTTTCTGGGGTGGGGGTCCATAGCTTTCATCAGATTCTCAAAGGGGTCCATCACCCCACAAAGGTTAAGAACCACTGAATTAGAGGAAGGCTGTTTGCACTGGAGGAGGGCATCGCTATTAATGGTTTTGGAAATATTTAGCAGAGTGCCCAAGGCTTATAATGCAGCAAAGCCCATCTGGGGTGTGTGCTAGCAAGAAACAAAAGTTACACAATGCCTCTTTTAACTTTTCAAACTAATAGGAGTTCTTTATTATAGGAACTCCATTTTCGAGGGCATCGCTATTAATGGTTTTGGAAATATTTAGCAGAGTGCCCAAGGCTTATAATGCAGCAAAGCCCATCTGAGGTGTGTGCTAGCAAGAAACAAAAATTACACAGAGCCTCTTTTAACTTTTCAAAATAATAAGAGTTCTTTATTATAGGAACTCCATTTTCTAGATAGGAAAGAGTAGAGATAGGTTCCTAACCTATCTAACTAGCTAGGATGGATGGAGATGCAGGTGAGCATGTCCAGCTCTCATGTTGCCAAAATGGAGAAGAGAGGCAAAGTGAGTGGAGAGAGGGTGAAGACAGAAGGAAGTTTCCCTGAGAGTAGCAATCTATACTTCAAAGGGATGGCATCAGAGAGTGGTAGAAGGAAGAGTGGCCAGTGTCCTGCCCATCCATCTCTCTGACTCTGTTGCAGTCTTCTTGTGAATGCTAGGACTCAGAGACAGCATAAAGTCTTCACCTTCCAACAAATAGAATAGATCTGCAGAATCCAGTCCCTTGATAAAATAGGCTTTATGCAAAAAACAGGTCTTACAAATATGCGGCTTGTGTGTTACCAGCAAAGTTTGACGTTTTCCTCCTTTTTTTCCCTGTCAAGTCACAGCAGGCTGTGACCCCCGAGGATTTTCAAGGCACAAGACATTCAGGGGTGGTTTGCCACTGCCTTTATCTTCCAACAAATAGATCTGCGGAATCCAGTCCCTTGATGCAAAAAACAGGTCTTACAAATATGCGGCTTGTGTGTTACCAGCAAAGTTTGAAGTTTTCCTCCTTTTTTCCCCTGTAAAGTCACAACAGGCTTTGACCCCCTAGGGTTTTCAAGGCACGAGACTTTCAGAGGTGTTTTGCCACTGCCTACCTCTGCATTACGACCCTGGTATTCCCTGGAGGTCACCCATCCAAATACTGACCAGGGCCAACCATGCTTAGTTCCTGAGATCTGACAAAACTGAGCTAGCCTAGTTTATCCAAGTCAGGGTCTCTTCCATTAAGTATTATGAAATGTGTGTGGGGGGGAGATAACAAAAAACAGTCATCTGTTCATCTCAAATCACATCTTACACAGTTCTGCTGTCCTGGTTTTGCTTTTCTGTCCATCTGGCTCTTCCTGTCTTGCATTTTCAGCAGGTCTGATCCTATTCTAAAACTAAAATAACAGTGGCTGCTGTTCCACTGGAACAAAGTTCGAGTCCAGTGGCACCCTTAAGACCAGCAAAGTTTTATTCAAGGTATAAACTTTTGTGTGCATGCACTCTTCTTCAGATACATTGAAATGGAAGTTACCAATTCATACATATAGGTAGAGGGTGAGCGGAAAACTAGCATAGAGCATAATAAAGGTGTTTAACAGATGCAAGGGCCAAACTGGAATATCAAGCTTAGTTGACATGGTCACCATTTGTTTGGGTTTAATTCCAGGGGATGACGTAGAGATATCAAAATCAGAGACTGATGGGCAGATGTACCCTTCTTAATTATGAATGCTGAGAGTCATTGACTGAGACCCTGCTAACAGGCTCCATTCATCTCCTTTCAGATGTGAAACTGACCAGTGGTTAGTTTTTATATTTTCCTGTAGTCTCCTATGTAAGCTTCATTTACCCATGTTAAAAGCCACTGCTTCCTCTGTGCTTCTTCAGTACAAGGAGGTTTTCTGACCCCATCTTTTGCTTCCAGGGTACATGTAGCACAAGTAGAACCTTCTGCAGATTGTACGCCCACACATGGACATCTGGCAGGGCGAGTTCAGCCAGCGGTCTGGGAATCGAGCACAGTCTTCCCACCCCACCCCACATCAGTCTCTCCGTGTTGTGAAATTTGTACAAAGTGACTCCTTCCAAAAAAAAATCAGTCCCTTATGAAATGAAGCACCTTTTTTGTTTGTTTTGGTAGTATCACGGATCTAGCTTGCGAGCCATGTTGATTCCACAATCCCTTATTAGGCCTCATTTTTTCTCAAAGATGTGTGCGTTTTTACCTTGGTTAAGGATGCGTATATACAGCAATAGAGTGCTTCTGCAGTTTTCCCGTCCTGGTTTGTAGGGTTGCTTTTGGGTCAGATGTACATGTACATATGAAACTCCCTTACACTGAATCAGACCATAGGTCCCAGACTGGCAGGAGCTCTCCAAGGTCTCAGACTGAGGTCTTTCACATCACCTACAACCAGTGTTCCCTCTAAGCCGAGTTAGTGTGAGCTAGCTCACAGTTTTTTAGCCTCCGGCTCACACGTTTTTGTCTTCGCTCAGGAAGGACCGCTCCAGAGCAAACTAATTTACGCAGTAGCCAAATCCCTCGCTCACAGCTTTAATGCCAGGAGCTCACGAAGTAGAATTTTTGCTCACATGACTCCGCAGCTTAGAGGGAACATTGCTTACAGGGAACATTGCTGATCCTTTCAGGTTGGAGAGAGCAGGGTATGAACCTGGAGTCTTCTGCGTGCCAAGCAGGTGCTCTACCACTGAGCCATGGTTCCATCCATCTCTCAGTGAGTCTCTGGCGAGCTAGAGTGAGCTCTTCTTTTCAAGGCACCAACAGTCTCTCATTTACGGAAGCTAGCCAGCCAAGTTCAAAGCTGAAGAAGCCTTCCTCTGGTGGAAAGAAAGTTTCAGACTTGGCTGCTGGGAGTGGTAGGCTACAAGCCAAGATTTCTGGCCGGAGACTAAGCCTGCCAGTTCATTCACAGCCAGCATTGCTTCAGTCTGAATTTATCTTCATTTCAGAGCACAGTCATCAAACATATACTTCCTGTTGTTATCAACAAAGTATTCAAGTAGTGTTAAGCTCCAGACAAAATACAGGCGGTTGGTGGTATGTTTCATAACAGTGGTTTTCCATGGAGCCCCCAGAGACTCTGCCTTAGGTGTTTCTTAATAACAAGACTGTTAATTGAGGAGGAACTTTCTTGAAGGATTGGTTGCCCACCACTACTGAACTTCCTTGAAGAGCACTGTGCAGCCACAGAAGAGCACTGGGCATTTCCTAGGGTGCACTCTCTGTTCATGTGAGGTGAACAGGGAGGCCGAAATGTCTTACCCAGTGCTACTCATACATGGAATTTGGGACAGAATTCTCCACAACAGTAACGATGGCAATCAAGGCAGTGCTCAAATTAGAACAAGCTTGGCCATGGAAGAGTTTTGGTATACATAGTTTTTAATATGTGACTCATAACCCCCTTTCTCAGTCACACAGAGATCCCACCACTCACCACAACCTCTGTCACACATGTTCAGGGTCACAGGTGGGTCAGGCAGTCACAATTCACCACACATCTTGCATCTTAAGAACACAATAGAGAGCCCTAACCTTTTCAGAGACCAGGTCCTTCCACTTACTCACAGAGATGCCACTAGATAGGGTAGCCCAGTCCCCTTTAGATAACACCCCCTCGTTCATATACAGAGCTAATGGGGCTGGGACTCAAACACTACTTTAGTCGCACACTGCCACCATTTATTCATATCCTAGTAAATATATGTATATAGACCAAGATCTCAGTATGTGTGTATTTGTGTGTTCTTCTTTCCCTGAGACCACACGCATCCAGTCCACAGGGTTAAACAAACAAGCAAGGAGTGAACCTTTATTTATGGTTTAAACACAACATTGGAGTGAATCAGGTACACAGTTACCAAGCTGATCTGTTCTTGAACTTTTGAACCACAGTTCTTGTCAGGCATTTGTATTTCCTTTTTATAAGCCGACTTTTTCCCAGTCAGTTGCTGTTCTGCTAGACGGCTGGCTCAAACTTACTGCCTCTTTCCTCAGCCAGTTCCGACTCCAATGGCTTTTCAACTGTCAGCCTCTTTCCAACATTGTGTCAGCTCCCATTGGCCAATCTTAAGGCAGAGGAGGAACCATCACAGTAAACCACTACTTTTATTCACTGTTGGGTATATAGAGATCTTGCTCATGGGTCCCAGGCTTGGAACAATCAGAACTGAGAAGCTTTTTATAGGGAGAGAGCAGTGCCACACTAACTTCTTTGCTAGGTCCACACAGGCAATGTAGCTAAGGGCTCTATCATGGAAGCTATATGTAGCCATGTAAGTAATGTGACTTTTACAAGGTGGCTTCATGGGTGGTTTTTGTGGACAGGATAACAGCAGGGGTGGAGAGCCTAGAGCCACTTCTCCCTGCAGTTTGGTGTAGTGGTTAAGCTTTGTAATGCATATATGGCGTTTGAGTGCCGTAGCAACAAAGACCAATGACAGATGGCCAAGGATAACAAACTTGACTCTACGGTTCAAAATTAGTTCCCTGTTTATTCTGTCCCCGCCCCCTCCAGACTGCGTAAAATCAATTGTTGCGAGTTGGCAAAAGATGTCGACGTGGTAACAGAGTACAGCATTGTTGGTCTGTGGCCAACCATGCAGTTCCAAAGACTTATAGGCACTTCAGAGGGAGTGGCAGATTCTGCAATCCGCCCCCCTGAAATTTTGTTCTGGGTGGTCAGTGGACCCTCAGGAACAACGTTGTGGAGATCTGCAGTGGGAGGGGAAGTTGGCAGAAATCCCCAGTCCCTTCTTAAGAAAACGTAAGTGCCCTTGAGTACTCGGAATGTGGCTGGACACCGGCCAGTTTTGCACAGGCTGCGTACAGCTGAGCTGTCCAGGTTGGATTCACTGGTTTCATAGAAGAGGCTTGTTGCGTACACAAGTGGCGTTAAGTTGCAACCAAGGCTTCCTCTAAGCTGTGGAGTCTTGTGAGCAAAAATTATACTTTGTGAGCTACTTGCATTAAAGTTGTGAGCGAGCGATTTGGCTGCTGCATAAGTTAGTTTGCTCTGGAGCCATCCCTTCCTGAGCTGAGACAAAAATGTGTGAGCCGGAGGCTAAAAAACTTTGAGCTAGCTCACACTAACTCAGCTCAGAGCAGAGGTGGCTGGCCATTGCCTTCCCCTGCAGACTCTTCCTTGGTGGTCTCGCATGCAAGTACCCACCCAGCTTAATGAGTCTGGACTAGATCATACCACCCTCCCTACCAAGAGGGTCTTTTGGCCAGAGGAAAGCTTCAGACTTGGCAGTGTCCACTCAAAAGTCTCTTAGAACAAGCTCGTGACCGTCTGAATGACCCTGGCATACTGGAGATTCAGTTTATTAGAGAGGACCTTTTCTTATATGGACACCACCCACCCCTGCATATGTTAAAGAGTTTGCAGGTAAGGCTTTGCTGTGTTGCCTTTTTCATCTGACACTGTTTCGTCATTGACAATTAGTGGGGCCTTTGCAGGTGGTAGCCTTTCCCAATTGAACTTCCTTTCTAGAGATCTTCTAGGAAAAGCTGAACTGGAATAAGGCTGGTTTCTACCCCTCCTTCGGGGACCAGATGTATATAGTGGCCCCGGTCACACGGGAGGATTTGCCCCGCGGGAGGGACGGATCGGGGGTGCATCAAGCAGGCACAATCATACCGCAACATCTGGGAAGCAGCGCACACCCGTTCCCGATCCGTCCTTTCCGGGCGAAGACGCGGCTCAAAAAGGTAGTAGCAAAACAGCACTACCTACTGTTTGCCGCACAGCATGGGCGGCAATGTTCCCTCTAAGCTGAGTTAGTGTGAGCTAGCTCACAGTTTTTTAGCCTCCGGCTCACACATTTTTGTCTTAGCTCAGGAAAGATGGCTCCGGAGCAAACTGATTTATGCAGCTTAGAGGGAACATTGATGGGCGGACGTCTGATCGCCGACCTGCCTGTCTCTCCCGCAGCATGCGAGGTCCTGCCGAACTGCACATGCACACGCATGCGCAGCGGGCTCACCTCATTTTCCGGTCCGTGGCTTCCCCCCAGCATCTGTTCATGCCGGGGAGGAACTGCGCGGCATCTGGGGGGATCTGTCTGATCCTGCAGCTGCACTTCTCTTTTGATGCGGCTCTAAAAAGCCTCACTTCAGCCGTGCCTTTCCCCCTAGTGTGACTGGGGCCAATGTATCTTGGAATTGTTGGATTTTATTTTTACGGGTTTCATCCAGCGAGTTGGTGTCATGCATCATCTACAGGATAGGTAAGCCGTCTTGAGCGGCCATAGTCAGACTCAGCGGCATATAAAGGGTTAAATAAACAAAAACTCTTTTGGGCCATGATCAGTGGTCAGAGCCTTAGCAGGCCATAAGAGGAGGTGCAGATTATGGTGTCTTAAAGACTGACAAGATTTCCAGGATATAGGCTTTCAGGAGTCAGAGCTCCCTTTGTATCTGTTGAAGGGAGCTTTGATTCTCCAGAGCTTATACCCTGGAGATCTTAGAAAAGAGCAAGATTCCAGTAGCACCTTAAGGACTAACAAAAAATTTTTGGTAGGGTATGAGCTCTCATGAATCACTGCTCACTCCTGCAGCTACAGCTAGAATGTGAATCCATCTGCCCTATACATTGGAAAGTGGAGTGGTATCAGATGCCAAATGACATTAGCAGGCAAATGACAATTGCAGGTATGATTGGGTTAGCTGTGATATGCAGAGAGGTAGTAGGCATGGAGAAATCAGCATTGGTAATGAGACAGGAAACCTAGGTCTCGATTTAATCCAGGAGGATGCATTGTCTTGAGCTTCATTATCAGTTGCAATTCAGCAGTCTCTCCAATTTCCCTCTGAAATTCTTTTGTAAGATAACTGCTACTTGGAAATCCTGGAAACCTTGTTGGTCTTCTGCTGAGACTGGACATGAAATCTTGCTATTTCCACCACACACCAACCCAGCTACCCACCTGGTTTGGATCCAAAGATCTGCCCATGGTATTCCATGCCATGCACCAAGATGTCCCTGTGTTTCTTCCTGCAGTGACTCCTCATGGTCCCTAGCAAGGCATTCCGGATAGTTAGGGGACCCTCTGAAAGAGCCTGCAATAGCTGACAGGCTGCAATCAGCCTCCCTTGTATGTGGGAGAAGAAGCACCTTCTGCTGCATGGCAGAATAGTTTGGATCCAAGCCACCTAAAACATTTAAGGCCAGGTGTCTTTTATCAAGTCTCCAGACACAGCCCTGACCTGGATAGGCCAGGCTAGCCCGATCTCATCAGATCTTGGAAGCTAAGCAGGGCTGGCCTTGGCTAGTATTGGGAAGGGTGACCTCTAAGGAATACCAGGGTTGTGACACAGAGGCAGGAAATGGCAAACCACCTCTGAACAGTCTCTTGCCTTAAAAACAAGCTTGCCACCTAGTGGTGCATAACGCTAAAGGAGCTAGAACTTCTGGCCGCCAGACTATCTTCGGATCTCCTGGGTAGTCATATGATGCCATAGGATGATGATGATTATTATTATTCTCCAGACATAAGGCCAGAGGTTCGCTAGTCGTGCATTAGCAAGAAAGAAAACAAAAAAAGGCCAGTATTATATCTTCACACATATTACAGCATCCGTGTATAAGCATTAAGAGACGCGGGCATGAACCGCAGAAGCCAAAAGGAGCATCAGCCAGGAGGCGGTTCCTGATATTACTCATTCGGGTGATAGAAAAACGGAACTGTGATCTGGGAATCAGCTTCTAAGAGGGCTTGCGGGGAGGGCGGGTTATAAATATAATAAATTAATTAATTTGGGCCAGCTCATCGAAAGGCAGCCCAGTGCTATCCGTAGGGTTGAATAAAGGTTAGGGATAACGAGAAACACCATTTGTTAACTGTGGCTGTGTTCGGTAGATATCCCCCTTGAGCAAAGATGACAGCGGAGAATACGAGTGCCACGCATCAAACTCTCAGGGAGAGGCCACCGCATCGGCGAGAATTACTGTGGTTAATTCCTTGCAAGAAATACCCACCGTGAAAGGTAGGCGGGTAGTGTGTTAACGCTGCTTTGTGTTAGGGCTGGTACAAAGAGGACTGGAAACATCTGAATAGATGCGCCAAAGGGACGCGTTTGGCTGTTGTATAGCGGCCAGATTTGGAACAGCTCAATTTTAAAGTTTTGTGCAAGACTTCAGAAGATCTCACTACAGTTTAAGTGGGTGTTGCAGAACTCAGGTGCTTGTAAATGAACAGAATCCATAATGGATCACAAGGCTGAGGAGACGGGAGAAGTGGGAATGACCCCCAAGGTCTGTCTCTTCAAGCCCTATGTTTGGAACCATCTCCTTTCTTCCAGCCCGTTTGGTGTAGTGGTTAGGGAGCACGCACTCTCATCTGGGAGAACTGGCTCGTTGATTCCAAGGCATTCCGGATAGTTAGGGGACCCTCTGAAAGAGCCTGCAATAGCTGTCAGGCTGCGATCAGCATCCCTTGTACGTGGGAGTAGAAGCACCTTCTGCTGCGTGGCAGAATCGTTTGGATCCAAGCCACTTGAAACATTTAAGGCCAGGTGTCTTTTATCAAGTCTCCAGACACAGCCCTGACCTGGATAGGCCAGGCTAGCCCGATCTCATCAGATCTTGGAAGCTGAGCCAGGGTCACCCTTGGCTAGTATTGGGGAGGGCGACCTCTAAGGAATACCAGGGTTGTGACACAGAGGCAGGAAATGGCAAACCACCTCTGAACAGTCTCTTGCCTTAAAAACAAGCTTGCCACCTAGTGGTGCATAACGCTAAAGGAGCTAGAACTTCTGGCCGCCAGACTATCTTCGGATCTCCTGGGTAGTCATATGATGCCATATGACGATGATGATGATTCTCCAGACATAAGGCCAGAGGTTCGCTAGTCGTGCATTAGCAAGAAAGAAAACAAAATATGCCAGTATTATATCTTCACACATATGACAGCATCTGTGTATAAGCATTAAGAGATGCAGGCATGAACTGCAGAAGCCAAAAGGAGCATCAGTCAGGAAGCGGTTCCTGATATTACTCATTCGGGTGATAGAAAAACGGAACTGTGATCTGGGAATCAGCTTCTAAGAGGGCTTGCGGGGAGGGCGGGTTATAAATATAATAAATTAATTAATTTGGGCCAGCTCATCGAAAGGCAGCCCAGTGCTATCCGTAGGGTTGAATAAAGGTTAGGGATAACGAGAAACACCATTTGTTAACTGTGGCTGTGTTCGGTAGATATCCCCCTTGAGCAAAGATGACAGCGGAGAATACGAGTGCCACGCATCAAACTCTCAGGGAGAGGCCACCGCATCGGCAAGAATTACCGTGGTTAATTCCTTGCAAGAAATACCCACCGTGAAAGGTAGGCGGGTAGTGTGTTAACGCTGCTTTCTCTTAGGGCTGGTACAAAGAGGACTGGAAACATCTGAATAGATGCGCCAAAGGGACGTGTTTGGCTGTTGTATAGTGGCCAGATTTGGAACAGTTCCGTTTTAAAGTTTTGTGCAAGACTTCAGAAGGTCTCGCTACAGCTTAAGTGGGTGTTGCAGAACTCAGGTGCTTGTAAATGAACAGAATCCATAATGGACCACAAGGCTGAGGAGATAGGAGAAGTGGGAATGACTCCCAAGGTCTGTCTCTTCAAGCCCTATGTTTGGAACCATCTCCTTTCTTCCAGCCGTTTGGTGTAGTGGTTAGGGAGCACACACTCTCATCTGGGAGAACTGGCTCGTTGATTCACCACGCCTCCATATGCAGCTGCTGGTGTCACCATGGGTCAGTCACAAGTTCTTTCAGAGCTGTTCTCTCCAGAGCAGTCCGTGAAAGAGCTCTCCTAGCCTCACCACAGGGTGTCTGTTGTGGGGAGGGGAAGGGAAAGGAGATTGTAAGCCACTTTGAGACTCCGAGTGAAGGGCAGGGCATAAATCCAAGCTCCTCTTCTTCTTCCATGGCTAAGTAACTCAGTGAAAAAGGGAAGGAAGCTGGTAGCCTCAGCACAATCTGTCAAGTACAGCCCTGGTGACTGCAGTCTGACAGGAGGTTGCCATAGGCTTCCTCCAAAGGAAGGCGAACTTGCAGGGGGGCGGTATGGAGGAGGAATGCAAGAACATTGACTTGCTTAAGGTTCGGTATTGCTTAGTAGGGGCCCCAGGTGGAGATGAGAAAACCTATGTGGGGGCTATGAAGCCTCAGCTTTTTGATTTACTACTAACAGGTGTAAAAAGAGCAAGCATCCAGCAGGACCTTAAGGTGTGGCAGGGTAGGAGCTTTCATGAGTCAGAGCTCACTGAATTTGATCAGTGATTCACGAAAGCTCATACCTTGCCGCAAATTTTGTTCATCTTTAAGGGGCTACTGGACGCTTGCTCTTTTCTAGCCAGCTTGGTGTAGTGGTTAAGAGCAGCAGTCTCTAATCTGGAGAACCAGGTTGGATTTCCCACTCCTCCACATGCAGCCAGCTGGGTGACCTTGGGTAAGTCACAGTTCTCGCAGAGCTCTCCTCTCAGCCCCACCTACCTCACAGGGTGTCTGTTGAGGGGAGAGGAAGAGGAGGAGATCGTAAGCCGCTCTGAGACTCCTTCGGGTAGTGAAGAGCAGGATATAAAGAAACTTTTCTTCTTCTGCTACAGACAGACTAACACGGCTACCCATCTGGATCTGCTAACAGGTGTGGGAGGGTTGGAGAGTTAATCGTTTTTATGTCTTTGAAGACGTACAAAGTTAGCAATTCACTGGGCTTCTCTAGAGTACATTTCAATGACAAACGTGGCTTCTGTTAAGAGACCTCCTGAATTTCTGAAACTGTGCCATCTTCTGTTGCAGGTGGTGAGGCCGAGCTATGAAAAGCGAACAGTCTCTGTCGTGTGTAGAGGGGGAAGAAGCTCTCGTCTAGGTCAGCTTAGGCTAGTCTTCCGGAAGTCTGCAGCTTCTGTTCTTTCCTGCTCCTCTCTGATCAGTTATTCTCCTTCCATAATTTTTGCTAAGGGGCCAACAGTGGGAAAGGGTTCCATGGGGATGAAGGGGAATTCTTGGGATCAGTATTACCACGGGGTTTCCCAGACTAACAAAGAACAGTGCCACTGCTCAAATAGAAAAGAGCACGAGTCCAGCAGCACCTTAAAGACACAAAATTTAAGGTAGGGTAGGAGCTTTCATAAGTCACTGCTCACTTCTTCACATACAATTCAAATGTGCACATTAGTCAAGTTATTCTATGCCAGTCTGGTTACAAATGTGGCCGTACCCTTCAAGATCAGCCCTCCACCCAAGCTAAGTGTTCTTCCTTATGTAGGTTTAACACAGTGTCCCAAGAAAATATTATTTCCTACAAATGTCTTCTTAGGTGATGGTTCACAACCTTCTGTGGTCTTTTCAGTCCCTTTTGTTTCTTGCTCCCTCTCTCCATATATTCCACTGTCCCACCCCACATTCCAGTCAAAGTACTGTCTTTTCCATTAACTTCAGTGAGAGCCCTGCCGGACTGATCTTGGCATTTCTTAATACTTCAGAAGGCCTAGCCAAGATACGCTTTGTGCAATGATATATCTCCCCGCAATGTGCTATCTTATCTCAGCTTGCAGATTTCAGTAGCAAAGCGATTCCACTCTGGTTCGGGGTCAGGATGGCTTCGTTCTGTCTCCGGCCTCTCAGCAGTCCCCCAACTTAGTTCAGTTCAGCTTCTGTATCAGATCTAGTCTAAACAGTGAGTTGCATCCAGACTAAATTGGCAGTTTTCACCATTTCTTTCTTCTTTCAGATACCCCCTCCCGTGTAATTTCTCAGGGTCCGTCTCACCCTGGAGCAACATCTCGTGGAATTCAGTGGGGCGTTTGGGAATGGGGGAGGCAGGGCAATTCTAGTCTGCTGATGGATTATTTAGTCTGGATTCAACCCCTTAAAGAAAGATCTTTTCCTAGGTGCGCCATCAAAAAGAATAGATTGTCTTAAATTTATATATAAATTACAGGTATGCACAATTAATTTTTTTTTTGCATATAACATTTTTAGGAGTGGTTGTCTTACACCAAGGGTTGTCTTCCTTTCGGGTAAATACAGTATATGCCAAAGATGGGAGCTCCTATCTGGGCTCTCAGTACATGTCTAGTCCCTGGAAGGAAAGGAGATTGTAAGCCACTTTGGACCTCCTTAAGGTAGAGAAAAGTGAGGTATAAAATCCAGTTCTTTTTCTTCCTGTAAAGGATGAACCGACATGGATGCATTTTTTATAGCCAAGATTCACGTAGCAAAAATATATGTAGTAACTGGAGATCTGTCTGTATATGTGATATATTTAATGGATAAACATAGAATTCATATGTGGTGCATACAGGTCTAAGTGATATATGGATACATGGTTGCCTAGATATATACTTCTAAGCATAAACCTAAACTTGGTTATTAATCCATCTCCTTGGTATTTGCAATAAGCATGCTAAATGACACCTATGTGGCCCAGATTTCCTGCCGTCCTAGATGTTGTCCTTGCTCTGAACTTTGGAGGCCTGTTAGAAGACGTTGCAAAGCCAGATTCAGCACTCCTGTGTTTGTCAGACTCCACCCCCATACTTGCCTCTCACCATAAATTGTGCCCTGCGACTGCCACATCCGTAAGGTCTCTTCAATATTATGTAGCACTTTTGTGATTGCACTGGGTGTCTGCTGTCTCCAAGCACTTAATAGATAGATTTCAGGATGGATCAGGAGCTTGGGTAACATAATTATGTTAAGAACATAAGAGAAGCCAATGTTGGATCAGGCCAGTGGCCCATCTAGTCCAACACTCTGTGTCATTCAGTGGCCAAACCCCAGGTGCCATCAGGAGGTCCACCAGTGGGGCCAGAACTCCAGAAGTCCTCCCACTGTTACCCCCCAAGCACCAAAAATACAGAGCATCACTGCCCCGGACAGCGTGTTCCACTGATACCTTGTGGCTAATAGCCACTGATGGATCTCTGCTCCATGTGTTTATCCAATCCCCTCTTGACGGTGTCTGTGCTTGCAATTCCTAATGGTGTCCATTCAGAACTTGGTACTTAAAAGCACATCAGTGGACTGGGATATTGCAAATACGTTTATTCAAATGGGAAGATTTTTTTTTTAAAGGTAATTCCTGTTCACATGGACCAAGAGGGCACTGGGACATATGCATCTTCCTCCCACGTACGTGAATGCACATCGATGCACTCTGGTTACACCTCACTTCAAACATGTACTGACACTGCAGGAGTTGGGATGGAGGTGTGTGTCTTGCTTGGAAATTATATTCTCACACACAGCGTTGATGGAGTGGCAATGCTTATCCAGGGCAGAGTTCATGCTGCAAACCTCAGATACCACTTGTTACACAGACACTTTAGTTAGCATTGTACCAAATGTACACATCTCCCACTTCTGTGCGGGCCAGTTCTACCAGATCTTCTCCTGTTTTCCCTTATACTGACATCATACACACCTTCTGTTGCTGGACAGTCACACTGGGATTCAGGCAATGTCCGCCATTATCTCCCTGCCTGGAGTCCACACGATAGCATGACTCCACCATCGTTCCTTAAGGCAGACAACATCTATAGACCTTTTGGATGGTTTTGGGTCTAGACATCTGAATTTGTCCTGTTACTCATCTTGGCTATTTGAGGGATCAGGATATCCTTGTTCTTCCTACACCAAGTGAGGGTGCACGAAGTCTAGTGTCTGGGATGGTTACTGCGATCCCTACAGCTTTATCTACAGTCCTGCAGTAAAAACTCCAGTGTCCTTAGCTGTCCTGACTTGGTCCAGCGGCTTATGACGCAAGACCCTGCTAATATTCCAAGCACCGATCCAATCACTGCCTGTTCTCAAGAAGACCCCCTTTTCCCATACAAATCTGACAGGCAACTATCCGACTGAACAGCTGTTTATTTGTATTTACAAAAACATAAAAGCCAGTTTGAGAACCTCCACTACAAAGCAGAATTGCTGTCATGATTTTCAGTGAACACACACATCTTAAAACCACCACAGAGATAAAAATCACACCGCGGCTAACCGAAGGAGTTCCCGAAGGCTACACACTCATCATCCGAGGTGCGATGCTCATCGACATCAATTCCTGGAAGAGGAGCTTGCAAGCATACGGCATTCTCACCAGAGAAATCTGAAAAGGGGGAGATAGTGGGGTTTTTTTTTAAGTATCCATAAAAAGAAAACTACTAATTACAGAATGCTAAAAGCAGCAAGTGACAATCGTATCCAGTACTTCTGAATGAAATACTACTTTGAACCTTTGTAGAGTTGAAAGTTTCACTTTCATTCTAGCAAGAGCCTTATAAAGGTGGGGGGGAAGTGCCACCGAGTTGCAGCTGATTTATGGTGACCCCATAGGGTTGTCAAAGCAAGAAGGAGTCCCCGAAGGCTACACACTCATCATCCGAGGTGCGATGCTCATCGACATCAATTCCTGGAAGAGGAGCTTGCAAGCATACGGCATTCTCACCAGAGAAATCTGAAAAGGGGGAGATAGTGGGGTTTTTTTTAAGTATCCATAAAAAGAAAACTACTCATTAAGTTAAAAGCATCACAACAGAATGCTAAAAGCAGAGAGTGACAAATCGCATCCAGTACTTCTGAATGAAATACTACCTTGAACCTTTGTAGAGAGTTGAAAGTTTCACTTTTATTCTAGCAACAGCCTTATAAAGGTGGGAGGGGGGGTAAGTGCTGAGTTGCAGCTGATTTATGGTGACCCCATAGGGTTGTCAAAGCAAGAGGTCTCCCACCAAAGTACACCAGGGCCAACCCTGCTTAGCTTCTGAGAGCTGACAACATTGGGCTAGCCTGAGCTATCCAGGTCAGGGCCTTAAAAAGGTTATGTCAGTCATACTGCAGATGAGACCAAAAGTCGTCACATTTTGGACCAAACAACATATGCTTCATTGTGCTTTATGTGACATTTACATTCTAACAAAGGTATCACGGAATAAACTTTCACGGGCTACAGCACACTTCATCAGACGCATAAAGATGAAAAGGGGTTTGTGAACAGCATAGCCAAGAGCCCTGTGCATTTCGTGGCCTTTGGGTTCCAGATTTTCTTTGTCTACCAAAGATTCTAGCCCAAGAAAGCTTAAGCTGTGAATGAGCTCATCCCTAATGGACCACGGGACTGTTACCAAACTAAACGGTCTGCTTTTCAGGATCCTTCTTTGTGCAGAAAATGTGCAAATACATTATTCTGCTGTTTTGAAACCCAACCTCAAGATGATGCCCGTTCTTGTCTCCTCCTTTGACATACCTGAGTCTTATTCCGGCAGCCCCTGCACTCGTAGGTGTGTGTCCTCGTGTTCGCTATGGCCATCAGCCCGCATAAGTTGCACACATGAACCTGATAGGGGTCTGAGGCTTCAAATAATCTCTCCCTTAAGAACTGCGCTGCTCCGTGAGCGATCTGACAGTCACGTTCCATCTCTCCAAAACGAAGGCCTCCATCACTGAGAGAGAAACATATATACGTTTCCACATTTTTCTGAGCTGGCAGCTACCAATCAGGCTGATCCCCCCCCCCCAAAAAAAAAAAAATTAAGCAAACAAACATCCAGAACAGAATCTGAGTTGTACATGAAAATACTTCCAGAGGAAAAAACACAATGAAGGCCATTTACAAATCATATGCTAGACACAACTGTAGTCTCCTTCATGCTATTTGTGCTATATATGAAGTTGCTGGTGCAGGATAGAATGCCAAAGAAAAATCTCTCTGAAATGTAGTTCTATGATCAAATTATAACTGTATACACATGCCACGATTTTATGGAAGTGTAGAAAAGCTACAACCCAGCTTCCTAAGAATGGCAGTTTTCATTTTATTTTTAAAGCAAGGTTCTAGCCTAGACTTTATGAATCTATGCTTGGAAGTTTTCATGGCAAAAGATCATGACCCAGGGAAGCTGGAGTAAAATGTCTAGTGATTATAGATCAGTCTTCAGAGCTTGTGCAGTTCCTTCTTTTTCTCTATGTACAACTAAAGCAGAGGAAATTCTGCGACAGTTAAAATTGCCCAATAAAGTCTGCTAAATTTATGCAAGTGATAAAATGTGGCTTTCCTTGAAATCACATTTGTTTGAACGTGGCACAGAATATTTGGGGCATGCAACTATAAACAGGCATATCGGTTTTAATACACGTAAACACATTTTCAGTAGCCATGGGGGGGGCACAGACAGAAAACAGTCAACTAACTTGTAAGGCTCATTTGAATGGAACTTTTTCTACAGCCGTGCAAACAGTAGCGATCCTACTCACACATGCCTCTGTCCTGTGTCATTTTCAGCATCACAAAGGGCAGAAAAAATCAACCAACCTCCTCTCTTTCTGTCACAACAAAAGCTTCCATCTCTGATCACCCGCAAAAGATTCCTACTCAGCCCAGATGAACGGCTACATAGAACAAGCCATTTCATTTTGCAAATCTTCTGTTTAGATGACTAGTTGCCACATTTTGGGTTAGTGGGATAGGTAATTTAAAAAATAAATAAAATCTCTAACTGAATCCTGCGCCATCCAGAAAAGTACATAAAGCCAGCCTCTATTCTCACCGAGATCGGCCTTCCATAGGCTGCCTGTTAAGGATCTGAATCGGCCCTCTTGCTCGAGAATGGATTTTATCATCCACCATGTGCTTCAGCCGCTGGTAGTAAGTCGGGCCAATAAAGATCTGCGATGTGATTTTGCGACCGGTGAAGCCATTGTACAAAACCTGCAGGAAAGAAAGGGTCAGCAAAACCAAAAGTTGCCACATGCGCAACGTGGAGAACAGACAATCCAGTCTCATAATCGGCCAGTGGGAACATGAGGTACCTCATTGCCTCTCAGATGATAACCATAGTCAGAGAGCAAATTGGAAATCTTCTGCACGTTGACAGCGTCGTTGAAAGGTGTGGCGTCACCAATTTCTCCCTTGTTTGCAGATACCTAGGGCGGAAAAGGTTTAGTGAATGACAAATGTTTGCAAAAGGTATCTAAGGAAAAACCCTGTAACATTTGCTATCACAACAGCTTAAAACTCCACTAGTGGAGCAGAACTAGTGACCGTCAGAGTGGTGCAGTGGTTTGAGTGGAGTGCTAGGGTCTAGGAGTCCCAGGTTCAAATCCCCACTTTGCTGGGGAAGCTTGCGGGATGGAATTTCTTGCTAAACATCAGGAAGAACTTCCTGACAGTTTGAGCAGTTCCTCAGTGGAACAGGCTTCTTCGGGAGGTG